AGGGTTCATAGAGTTTAGGGTTTAGGGTTTAGAGTGATGGCATCAGGTTTGACCAAACGCTAAACCTACTGGTGCACAAAGATCTAGGTACGATTAGAGGTTTTTATATGAGCGAGCCACTGTCTAAACTCCTAGTATTCCCCTTAATAACCCCTATAGTGCTCCCCTATATAATTTTCATCTAACCTCCTTCAAGGAGTTTAGACTATGGCTCATATGAGATTAGTATAGTCCTAGGATTTACCTAGTGTCTAGACAATTGCGGGAGGGCAGTCAGCAGTCACGGAGTGGTGTCCTACAAATTCGCGGGAGATAGGGGGCCCCCGAATGGGTTCGAGATATAGGTATACTAGGTACCCCAGTGGTACCCTTTTTCCCTTTTGATTTGGGGGTCTCCTTATTGAAACAAAACACTAGGAAAAAGGGTACCCTTATTATGAAGAGGTTACTGGGGAACCGTGTATATATATATATAGGATTTCGGGTTAAGGGCGGTAGGGATTTAACACCATGTGACCCTAAACCCCTAAACCCTAAACCCCTACACCCTAAACCCCGGGTTATTGACGTTTAGAGGTTTGCAGGGCAAGCAGCGGGACACTGCCACCAACCCTGCCCTCCTTAGCACCACCCTGAACCTTTTGAAGCTCTGCAAAACCTAAGCCCTAAACGCAGAACCTAGAAAGCCAGGTACCCATAATTCTAGGTAACTTTCCCCAAATTCCTATTACTTTGGGTTAAAAGTAGCCTTTTATTATGGGTAATGAGGGTTTCTAGGTAAACTGCATCGGTTCATACATGGCTGACGAGGACGCCGTGAACTTGTTGAGTGGGCAGGCGCGTTGGTATGCTGATTGGTTTCGGACACACGGTCTAGGGTTTGACCTCTTCCTGAAGTGGACCCCCACCCAGTAATAGTGACTATAAGGGTGGGGGGTCCTCCTAACCTCTTCCTGGTTCTTAGTCATAGGGGTTATGTAGGGGGGGTGTTCATAGGAGCTATATAGGGGTCTCAATTCTCTTGACTGACCTTGGGGCGTGTAGTACGTAGGTATAACCAATTAATTAAGCCTGCCTTAACCCCAAAAGTAGGTAAAATAATAGCGCAAAACAACTAAAAACGGACCAGAAGGCAATTTGTTACATACTTTTGGGGTTCAGGTGAGCCACAACTTGTAGCCATGAAGGCGTTTTGGCGAATTCCCCCATCCTGCAAGGGCACAACCTTGAGTAGTCTACTTCAAAGTAAGGGTCACCACTGCGCATACAGCATATATAGCCAAACGCATCTAGTTCATTGACGGCTTCAAAGAAATGCTTTTTTTTTCAGAAATACTTTATCTGAGTCCCAGACTTGAAGAATGCGCCTACAATTGTTTTGACTTCGCCAAGCTACTGCTTCGCAACATGTAAGTTCTTGCCGTGATTATCTTCTTGGTGCCGCAGGTGGAGTTGGGGAGTGAATACAGGTACCATATGTTCGACTTCCAACTACAAGACTTTGATGATTTCCCAAAATTAGGGGACCCCAATATAAACCCCAAAATAATATAATCCCTAATATAGGTACTATATGTTCGACTTTAAGTATTAAAATTTGAAAATTTCCCAAAATAGGGGGACCCCAACATAAATCCTAAACCCTAAACCCTAAACAAAACAATCGGACCTCAATATAAGCCCTAAACCCTAAACAAAATAAGGGACCCCAATATTAATCCCAAATCCTTGTTATGGGGACCCCCCCCAAAGAGGCAGATTCCTTGCCCTGGCACCTTTAGGGGTTTAGGGTCTAGGGTTCAGGGGTTTAGGGTTTAGGGCTTAGGGGTTTAGGGGTTTAGGGTTTAGGGTATAGGGTTCAGGGGTTAGGGGTTAGGGGTTTAGGGTTTAGGGTTCAGGGGTTTCTGATTTCGGGTTCAGGATTTCCAGGGGAAAGCGCCGGCCGCATATAAAAGGCACATCTGAAGACTACAGAAGGCTTCCATCAGACTGCATAGCTGCATCTTGTTTCTGAACCCTGAGCCCCAATCCCCACCCTAAACCCTAAACCCTAAACCCTAAACCCTAAACCCTAACCCCCAATCCCCAAACTCCTCATCTTTACTGCGGTTATCCTTCCTGCGCGAAAGGCCTCCGTGCTGTTATGACGCCGGAAAAAGTCAAGGGGCTCCAGAGGCAGTCTGAAGGTTTCAGCGTTTAGGGCGTAGGGTTTTTAGGGTTTGGGGTTTAGGGTTCAGGGTTTAGGGATTGGGTCTGAAGGTTTCAGCGTTTAGGGCTTGCATAGATTACTCCTTAGGTGCTTTTTTTTTACGTTTTGCGTCTAGGGTCCAGGGTAGCTGATGCGCCCTGCGGTTTGAAGCTTGCCACCCAACCGTCTTGCGGAGTATCACATGGAAAGGAAACAGGAAATAGATTAAATTGGAATTACCGGTTTAGGGTTTAGGGTTCAGGTCTTAAGGCAATCATTGACCAAGTACCCTTGACTTTCATAAGAAGATTTTGCCAACCCCAGCTCCCAAAATTAGGATCCTAATGTAATCCTAGTGTGAAGGTTGGAATTATCCAAGTCCTTGTATTCATAGGCTTTAGGCAAGCGATGTTTTGACATGTTTTTGGCGCTTGTCATAAGACACCTCCATGAACATCTAGATGTACTTCTCTTCCAGTTATGATTCTGGACCCTAAACCCTAAGCGTATTTGAGACTTGGGCGGCACTTGTCTCTACGTTATAAGTACAGTGGAAGGTAGATTACAAGTGCGCTAGGACTGAGGTCAATCCCCCCTGCAGTAAGAGCCCCTAAATATGAAGTTAATAGGGACAATAAACCGAGAATCGTCCTTTGTGGTACTCATGACTGGGTGGGGGATTGAGCCCCTAAACCCTCCCTTAACCCTAACCTCTGGTCCCTGAACCTAATCCCTAAACACTATACAGATATTTGTATATATATATATGTTTATTGATATATGTATCCCTTTGTTGAATGCCATGTTTCCTTCGTTCAGCCTCTGGCTCCCCTTGAAGACCAGGTTTCACCCCACAAGCGATTTGGACCAACAGTGTCCCAGGAGAGCCAACAATCATCTGAGTTGCTTTGCTGGAGGCTAAAGCCTAACCCTAAGTGTCCAAGCGCAATATTCATATGCTTCTCCAAGGAGTATACTAGAATTTCTTTTAACTCAAATCCAGTACTCACTTATGGCTCGTTTTGCTGGAGCTAAACTGTCCGTTCCATGTTTGTTTTCATGTGATTCTCCATTCTTGGTCAGTATCTAAGCCCTCGAACAATGAAACCTAGTCTCTCAACCTTCCTAAACCCTGTAACTACAAGATTGTTCTCGATGTAGGCCCCAGCAGTGGGCCCACAGCGCTGAATCCTGAAGTTGTAAGCGATGAGACTACCATGCTCGTAAAGGTACCCACTCCGAGGGTTTCAGTGAGACTTCGTAGGGCCGAATAGGGCTCTTTTGGGGGGGTGGGGGTGTACTTTTTGGGTGCTAAACCCTAACCCCATCCGTAATAATTTAACACTAAACGACTCTAAAACACGCAAATCCTGAAGTTGTCTCCCTGGATTTAGAGCTCGTGCGGGAAGCCTGCTCGAGAAATGATTTGCGACCGTCGCTTGCGGAACAATGGAACTTGATGTGTGGTATAGGTTGGGTACTGCCCCCACTCTGTAACAGTTGAATTGTATTGATAATATAGTCAAATAGCGCCCTAAATATGGCCAATATCGACTGTTACAGGGTGAGGGCAGTGCCCAAGGTATGGTATGGTGCAGGGTGCTTCGGGTTCAAGTTTAGGGTTAGGGTCTGGTGAAAACAACGGAGCCTGAAGAGTTTACAGGGACATCAAGGCCCCGTTCAGGAGGCTTACAGGGATCTGTGGGCTGGGTACAGTGGCAGGAGGAAATCATACATCACGTAAGATACCAAAATATGTAAGTATTTTCTGCGTTCTTAGTGTATAAAAGTACAGGAGGGTGGTGCAGGATCTCAACCATGCACAGCAAGCTTCCGTCATGGCTTTTTGTGAGCGTATATAGGGCGTTTCAGGAACGTTTCCGTGCAAAACAACTCTAAGCCCTAAACCGTTTCGCTCATACTCCCCAACATATTGCAGTCACTTTAGCTTTTGTCAGTATCAGGGTTACCGAGGCGCCGTGAAGGGTGGACAGAGGGGTCCCATTGGTAGTGCAGTATAGTCCCTAATCGACTCCCTGATACGTAGGTACCCCAGTAGTACCCTTTTCCCTTGTTTTTTTTATTTTGGGGTCTCCCCATTAAAATTGACCATCAGGAAAAAGGGTACCCTGCTTATTCTGGGGTTACTGGGGAACCTAGATAAGGAGGCCAACTCCATTAGTTCAAGGGAACTATCGACTGTAGGTCGCTTGAGGCAATGTCGATAATAGGCTATATACTTCAAGGGCAAGGGGACTGCTGAAGAGCAACCCTAAACCCTAAACCCTCCATGTGTGTGCCAAATTGAGTTTTTCTTGTGGGGGTGCATGTTTACAATACAGCAAAGTTTGCAACTCATAGCATGTTTGGCACTTTGCATGGTCAGATTTCGCTCGTGGGCGAAGCACATCACGCCACTTCTGGTAAACTCCCATCCGGTGATGGTAGTTCACTTGGACTTGACGCTCTCAAGCGCAAGTGGATGACCTGGGCCGGGCATCCTGAAGTGTTACGTTGTGACAGAGGTCTGCGCAACCGCGGCGTGCTAGCCCAGTGGATGTCTTCACATGGTGTGCAAGTGCACCATGCACCACTGGAAACTCCTGAAGCCATTGGACGTGTGGAACGCCATGGTGGTGTTATCAAGGGAATGGCCCGCAAGGTCGTATCCCAAACTCAAGCCGTTGGCCGCTCCAGTGTTCAATCTGTTTTAGATGAATGCTGTACGACTAAGAACAGCTTACTACGTCATGGAGGTTATTCCCCATATCAGTGGGTACTCGGCAAGGCCCCAAGAGGAGTTCCTTCACTCATGGATGAGGAAGGGCATGCAGACCTAGGTGCTATTCAGGATACTATCGATCCTGAGTCCCGCTTTGCTTTGCAGCATCAAGCGAGAGCTGAGGCCAAGAAAGCATGTGTGCATATGGACACTTCCAAAAGAGTCCAGCGAGCATTAAAGCGAGAGCTGAGGCCAAGAAAGCATTTGTGCATATGGACACTTCCAAAAGAGTCCAGCGAGCATTACTTAGGAATGCTAAGCCTATACCCTATGAGCACGCCGTAGGGGATATAGTTACCTTTCGTAGGGACAAGGGTGGCAAGACCGTGTGGTCTCCCGCGTCTAGAGTTATCGGACGCGAAGGTTCGGAAGGTCAGGACGTTTGGCTGTTGTGCGAAAACGTACCGGTTTTAGTTTCAGCACAAAACCTCCGACCTGCCACTGATGCGGAGGCATTAGCGCATCAAGTCCTCAATGATGAGCCTGTTATTCCCGACGCTATCGCGCGGGGTAACCCAGAATTCGAGGATCACAGAGACGCTCGTGCCGACGTCCCTGTGGTGGAGCCTCGAGTCGAAGAGGAAGATCCCTTCGACGAGCCGCTTGCCTCTATCTTAGAAGAAGAGGAAGAAGAGTGGAAGAAATATGAGGATTTCCAAGCTGCAATACCCATCCATGGGCAAGATCTTTCCGACTTGCTGACAGAGGGACATATTGCCCTCCCCATGATAATGGGTAGATACAATCAAGAACATACATGAACAACATATAAGCCGGATTTCATTCCCGAATTTAAATCCAGGCTCGTTGGGTGTGGCAATTTTGAGGATGCCACAGGCGTAAGGACCGACGCACCCACGTCGGATCTAGAAACACATAGCATAGTTGCCGCTTTCGCCGTTGCTGAAGGTGTTCCACCTCAGAGCTCGGACATAAGGAACGCACACTTTCAGGCGTTACCTATAGATCGCATAGTCATCATGCGACAGCCGAGCGGCGGACTTCCAGGGGTAGACCCGGAAGCATACCTCTTGATCAGAGTACCTGTGTACGGACTCTGTGACTCAGGCCGTGGTTTCTGGAAGAAGGTGAACCACGACGCATTAGATGTAGGCCTTCGTGCTAGCCGCATCTTTCCTGCCTTTTACTACCACGTGAGTAATGGGCGAGTGGATCTCGTGTTAACCACTCATGTGGATGACTTCCTGTGGGCCTGTACCGAATCAGGACAGGTAGTCATGGACAAGCTTCTCAGCCGATTTGAGGTAGGGAAACGTGAGATAGGTAGACTCCGTTTCTGCGGTAAGCAATTCAACCTTGCCGGCAAGGATGTGTTGATCGACGTCACCGACAACACAACGAAAACAACCTACATCGACATCCAAAAGGGTCGGAAGCCTTCTGACCAAGTGACTAACGGGGAAGAACGACAACTGCGTTCTGTCGTTGGATCCTTATCTTGGGTTTCCCGTCAAGCTTGACCGGATATTCTATACCGGGTTTCTCGCTTTCAGAGTAGCATAAAAGGAGCCAAGGTCTCTACCTTCAGCTACGCTAACAAGGTACTAAAAATGGCCTTGGAAACAAAGGACCTGAAAATCAGGTACCGTCATTCAGGCAGCCTAGACTTTATGAAGCTAGGTGTGTTGACCGCCTCAGACGCAAGTTTTGCTGGGGAAACACAGTTGAAGTCGCAACAGGGACGTATTCACTTCCTTTGCCCTGTTGAACAATTGATCGATCCCGACAATTGCCTGTTTGACGTGGCACTCGTGTCATGTAGCAGTACCACTATAAAGAGAGTATGTAGGGCAACCCTTCAAGCAGGGACATATGCCCTGCAGAATGCCCAGGAGGCCGGCGACAAGATTCGCGCCGTACTGGCCGAAATGTACGGACACCTATCATCGGGTCCAGAGTGGTACGAGTCTGCCAGGAAGCATGTTCCACATGTCATGCTATCCGATTGCCGAAGTCTTGTGGATCATCTGAATGTAGAGGTTCCTGCGAGAGTGCAAGACAAGCGCTTACAAATAGAACTCAATGCGCTTAGGCAGGCGATATTTCTCGATGATGGCACGAGAACGGTGAATCACTACCCGGCAGGGGGTGATAGAGTAGACTGGTGCGACACTGCTACTCAGGTCGCTGCCTGCTTTACCAAAAGCATGAAATCGGACTTCTTGCTGAAGATCCTTTCTTCTTGTTCCTATGAGATTTCAAGGAGCAAGCTGTGAACACATCCGTGTGTATGACCTGAGGGCATACTTTTGCAGCATAATTAATGTACAAAGTGTACATACAGGGCTGGAATACCAGAGCCCAAGTCGCACTGGCTGTTTTTGCTCGAAGAAGATAGCAAGGAGGCATCTTCTATCACTTAGCTTGTGTAGTTTTGCTACCTGTATCTCCAAACTGACTAGAGAACAGGTTGAGTGTGAATCACTCCATGTTTGCAGTGTAGGCAGCCTAGGTCAGTTTGTGTAGAGTGCATGTATGGATGTGACCTTGTTTCCCGCAGGCGCCTTGAGTCAACAGCAAAAGGTTTCGCAGTCTTCTGTAACTATCCTATTATTACCGATATGAGATTACGCGCTCGGTCCCCGGCAGTCCCTAACATTGACATCTTCTCGGCTTCAAAAGATTTAGGCGAAACATCATTTCTTGTTTCTGGCCCCCAAATACACTCTCATTACTTTTTTTAGTTCAAGGAGTCCTTGCTAAACTGCCAAGTACCAAACCACATGTCCTTCTTTGCTAGGTTATACCCAAGGGTTCCCGCGTAGTTCCATTTGGGGTTATTACGATTGTTGGGTGAGAGCCATTTCTTTCGTGAGGCCACGACATGTGGACGCAGCAGGGATGGCAGCCCAGCTCCAATGGGCATTTTCCACTGTTTATAATGAGCCCTCCACGTGCCCCCCCAGGCTTAGGGCTTAGGGGAAACTTGGGTTACTGTATGGACTATAGGGATTCCCAACCTACTTACTAAGTCCCCCTGACTATCCAAGTGTGCTTTAGGCGTTAGGGGTTTGAGGTTTGGGGCTTAGGATTCAGGGTGTAGGAGTTGAGGATTTAGCGCGCTGGACTTAGGGGTGATAATGGTCATATTCCAAGCCCTTTATACTATCCCCCTGAATCTTGCACAGAGCCAAGGTCCCCTTTGAGTTACCAAGTGGGCATCTTCGCGGGCGTGCCTGGTCTGTGATGCATGGTGGGCTTATATTGGAGAATTGGATTATTAAGTTAGGTGATTCCAGTTGAAGACGTCGGACTAAATTCGTTCGTGACCTTTGATGAGATATCCCTGTCATTTGAAGGCAGAAAACGTGTTGTGTCCTCATAAAACTAGCCCACCTGCGATTAACAGCTATTAACACGAGAGAGCAGCACAAAATCTCAGGGTCCAAGGTTCTATATTGAACTCGGTGGCTGTTACATACACAGACTTTCAGCCTCCTCAAACGTCAATCGGAACCCCAAAATCGGATCTACAGAGATTACTTTGCTTTCAAGAGGGGCTACCCGCGGTTCCGTGTTCGTTTGAGGTAAGGTGAGTACCCTGGGCTTCTCAGTCAAGAATCTCCCTAAACGGGCCAAGGGCCCATACTCGGGGCCCATACTTACGACTTTAGATGTAGAGTTTCCATAAACTTCAGAAAGACAGCAGCTAGCAAAATAACCCGAAAACATATCAGAAACCTCAGACTGCAACTTCTCTTCGCCAAGGCAAGTGGTTGCAATGTCACTTGGCGAATTACTCACAACCTTGAGCTCCATTTGAGTTACTGTCAACATTTGCCTTACCAAGGGACCATTAAGGGTGGACATAGAGATCACGCATGTCCAGTAAATTGGGTAGGAAATACTGTCTGTGCACGATGCCAATGATCACCTTGTGAATTCGCTAACGCTGGCGGGGTCCAACTTAGATCCCCTTTTCTCCAAAACCATAAAAACCAAATCCTATTCACGCTTGCATGGCGCAAGTGTGCTTGCGAAAAGTGAGCCCATCACCGCTGATGGGGTTGAAGCAAATGGTTTTGAACGACCAACTTGGTAAGACTTACAACTGCAGCTGCCCTCAGCCTCTTGTGACGAAAGGCTTTCGAGAAGGGATAGGCAAGTTTGACCTATTAGCTTCTGTATTGGTGCTCATTAGTTTGGGATGGCTCCTTCTAGGGGTGGATTACGGCCTTGTGCCGCTCTGTGCGCTGTCCCCTGACCCTCCAAGTATAGACCCCAAGTACCCCCAAATAGGACACATAGACCCTAGGCTATTTAGGGGTATTTGGGGGATTAGGTACCCGCCTAACTTTCAACTCACAATCTTCAAGCAACGCCTATCCCCAACCCAGGAGTCGTTCTTCTCAGTGCAGCCTGACTGACGCCGACGCTTTGGCTTGTTTATTGGAGGTACCCACAAGGAATGTCGGACCGTAATATTGGCAATTTCAAATACTGTAAACGTTGCCACATATATGTATATAGCGGATACGATAGGGGATATATAGATAACATACAGACGGATTGTGGAATTTCATCATTTGGGCCGCTGTGGCAGATGCCGATTGTTTGATTGAAAAAGCAGTAATATTTCCAATCCTCATATCAGAGCCATAGTCTAAACTCCTTAAAGGGGGCTAGGGTTTAGGAGGGATCTACTATAATTGGGGGGTGTGAAGGGGAATTCTAGGAGTTCAGCCTATGGCTCATATGAATCCTAACCACTATAAAGGGGTTATTAAGGGGAAACGAGGAGTTTAGACTATGGCTCATGTCAGAACGACTGACTTTCTCATACGGAGAACGTGAAACGGTGTAGGGTTTAGGGTCTAGTCTTTATCCAACACTTAGAAATGTTCCCGGCTCAGTTATTGAAGAGACCCACCCGGAAGCCAGGCACACAAGGGATAACCGGATGACTCACCATCACTCTGTTCAGGATGGGGCACGTGATTCTCCCTACTGTACGATTATAATTGTAACTGAGTGGGGACCTATCATAAGATTGGCCCTGTTTACTGCTAGGTAAAATCATAACCCCAAATCTTTAAATGCAGCACAAAAGGCCAGTATTGGTTCAGGTAGATTCTGACAACGTTTTGGGAATCCGAGAAGCCAATGACATGCTCTTTATTCGAGCTATCGCCTCAAATCCTTAAAGGGGGCTATATGGGGGTTTATATAAGGGGACTACTACAGGTTTAGGGTTAAGGGTTAAGGAACCCTAAACCTTTAAACCCTAGGGATTTTCAGGGGGATACCAGGAGTTTAGACCATGGGTTAGATGATTCTTGCCAAGGGGAAGCAGAGTTGCCACAATTCGAGGTTCGTGGGTTAAGGTTTGGGATTTGGCTTTTGGTGGGGCTGCGAGGTACCCTAAACACGGCTATGACTAATTGTGAGCCCTCCTCGAGGTTAAGCCCTTTCTCCGGGCCATATAATCACGGTGTTGCGAAACCTTGTGCGTAGATCCATGACGCCCTGATAAGGGTGCGGTGATGGTGTTAGAGTAAGAGCCATGCCTATACTGTAGAAGCCCGAATAGTTGAGAGCGCAAGCTTTGTTCTTACAGAATGATGACAGTGGAATACCCCCGGCCGTAAATGCTATTCTGGTCGTTTGGGGCCATAGCTCCTGAGCCCTGTTCTAACTTTCCATGCCCGCACATCGCCTTCCTCCGTTGCCGTATCCTCTGGTGCAAGTAGCTCGGGCACGCATTGCGGAACCTCAGCAAAGTTGCTTGTGAGTCGCTTGGCTGTCACCTACGGTGGATGGAGGAAATCTTGCAACACTTCGGAACCCCAAAAGATTCTAACTATGGTGGTAAAAGGTATATTAGGTGGTGCAACGGGTTCCAGATTTTGGGTTCAGGATTTGGGGTTTAGGCTTGGGGTTTCTGCAGCGTGTAAGCTTCAACATTTATGGTTTACGACGTAGGGTCTAGGGTTTGAAATTTAGAGCCTGGTCTTTATCTACAATCTAGGTTCTAGGATCTATTACTGACTTAAACCCTAAGCCCTAAATTCCCACCCGGCCTGCTTAGGCCGTTTCCACCCATGACTAGGATGGTCAAACACTGAAGAAACACGTCAGCCTTTACACCCGTACTGGGTAAGACAATGGGAGGAGCCTATGGAGAATGGACGTATAGAACTCTTCCGGGCTCCTCCCGTACATCGGGAGGTGGAGCCCTGCCTTCAGCCACCCTTGTTGGCCAAATCTTGACAATGTACCCGCCTCCTTCCGGGGGTTTCAGGGGTCCTGGCCCCTGGCTGCAGCAAATTCGCGGGAGGTCCTGAGTTAAGGAAGCTAGGCCTCCAGGTGCCAGTAGTTCCCTGGAGGCGCTGGAGGCCCGGAGGCCCTTGAAAACTCTGGAAATTCCTGGCCCCATCACCCACCGAACACCAAAACCAGGAAGACGATCTTTTGGAGGTGGGCAGCCCAAACCCAACACAAAGTAATTTGGGTGGTAGCCAGTGATGTCACACACAGCGGGCGGGGGTTTTGAAGAAAGCCCAGCTCTGATGGCTTCTTGGGCAACATGCACGAGGTTCGCTGGGCGCAGGATGCGCCGCCACTCACAGATCCCTGGAAGTGGGGTGGCGCCATCGGCACATGCATACTGAGCCCTGCGCAGGTAGACGCCCTAAACCCTAAACCCTAATCCCTTCCTCGTGAGACCGGCAGCTTCGAAGCTTCCACGGCCGCAAATTTCGTCTGACCAGCTCGGATCCTTGAATTATCCCTATTGACGTGAGGAGTTTATGAATGACGGGTCTGTATTATGTGTGAGCAATAGGCAAAACCATGCCATGCGGCGCAAGTTGGAAGGCTGCTTCGAATGTACCTCCCTTTACCTTCAATCACGGGAGTGCTGTACAAAGCACTGTACAAGGACGAACAAGGCTGCTCCCCAAGCCTGTCAGCCGCGTCCGGGCAGCGTGACGCGGCAGCAGCGCATGCAGCGGGACAACGCCGAGAGTCAAGAGCGTCACTGTCATATTCTGCAAGCAGATTTTCATGATCACGAGTTTGGGATTTAGGCTTGGGAGTTCTATCCATTGAGCGTCTAGCTTTTGAGATTTTTGTTGTTGGACTTAAAATGTAGTGCCTTGTTGTACGATTTGGTGGCAAAGCC